TACGTTTTATTCGTTTTTCTCTGTTTTTCTCTGTAATTTAACATTAAGTAAGAATGCTCACACGCACACGCACATACACACAATTACATTAAGTAGCTATATAGGTAGGTTAGATAGGCATAATTTTAATTGTAGGTAGGATAGATAGGAAGCATCCAACACTACTGTAGTTGAATAGGTAGGCAGCGTAAGTTTATCTCTTCTATTTTTTCTCGCACCCACATTACACGCATCAGCATATTATACACACGCAAACAAATACATACATAAACACATATTAGTATTTGAGCGTAATTTTATTTTCATTACACATTCTAATTTATTATTACTAAGGTTGAGAGTAATTTAATTTCATAGGTAGTTAAAAGCAATTTACTTCTAGGAACAATCTTGTAATTTAAATTAAATAAACGCTGTAAGTGTATCGAGAGGTAAGTTAGTTATTAAGTTTTACATTATTATTATTAGGTTGGAGCCCAAGGCATTACGTAGGTGGTGGGGTGGGTGCCGAAAGGCCAATGAATTGGGCTCTTGAGTTTTGTAATTTTAGGTAAGCTAGGGCCATAATGTAATGAATAGGTAAGTTAAGGCTACGTTGTAACACACACTCATTAATAGATTTAGGGTTTAAGTTTTATATTATTACTAAGTTGGAGCCCAAGGCATTACGTAGGTGGTGTGGTGGGTGCCGATTGGCAAATGAATTGGGCTCTTGAGTTTTTTTGTAATTTTAGGTAAGCTAGGGCTTAATTGTAATGAATAGGTAAGTTGAGGGTACGATAGCCGATAGACTCTGAATTTCGAAGTCTGTTGTCAGAGGTAAGCCTTGGTGGCCAGTGGTGTACCGGCAATGGTTTACTATCCGGACGGCAATGGTTTACTATCTGCACGGTAATGATTTACCATGCGGCACGGCCATAGTCTACTACCCGCACGGCTTCCGGACGGCAAATGGTTTACTATCCGCACGGCAATAGTCTACTATCCGCACGGCAATGGTTTTCTATCCAGTGCCCTGACTGTCGGTGAACCTCTGTGCAAGGGGGAAGAATGAAGGGGGACTTTCGACTATCGTACCATTAACAATTTAATATAGATTAGTTAAGGTAATTGAATAGGTAGATAGGATTATTTTTATTAAGCAATTTGATATGCAGGCACCGCTAAGCTTTCTGATGAGAATCTACTCTTTCTTTCTCCATCAACACGGGCTGTGTTTCAACAACAATCTCGAGGAGGACTGGCACCAGTTTTGGAGAACAACGTAGGAACCGGACCGCATTCAACATTCTGCCTTTGTCGAATGGACGACGGTAAGTTTTTTTACATTTTACTTACTTTATTATTTTAAAATTTTATTTATTTGACATTATTTTCATTTTATAATTTAATTTTTTTTGCTTCTAAGATTCTAACATTCATTTACAACTAAGCAAATTAAAAAATTTTGTTTACAGAATGATGAGAGGTGGGCAGTGTTGGGAGTCAGCACGTTTTAGATGGTGGTCTCATGATGATTTACATATGATGATGGTGGTGTAGGAAGAATCAGCTCGTTGGCTGTTCGACTGACACTCTGAAGTTCGGATGGTATTTTGTGTGCCGACCAGTCGGTGGTCGGTGCAATGGAAAAAACGACGATTTTTGAAGTAAGGTTTAGTTTCGTTTTTTATTTTTCTCATTCGTTCATTTTATCACTCAACCTTTTAAATTATTTTTCTATTAATTGATTCGTTAATTCATTCTATTCATCAATTGAATCATTGATTTATTAATTCATTCATTCATTCACTCATTCATTCAACCAATTATTCAATCATTCAGTTAATCATTTATTCGTTCATTCCTTTGTTCCTTGATTTACTAATACGCTATTAAAAAAATGTCTACAGAATGATGAGAGGTGGGCTGTGGTGGGCATCAGCACGTTTCAGATGGAGGTCTCATGATGATCGTTCCGATGACAATTCGAAGATAACAACAACGACGGTTTTTGAAGTATGATTTAGTTTCTTTTTTTTATTTTTCTCATTCATTCATTCATTTTATCACTATCTTTCAAATTATTCCTCAGTTAATTTATTCATTGATTCATTCTATTCATTCATTAAATCATTGGTTGATTAATTAATTAGTTAATTTATTCATTCAACCAATCGTTCAATCATTCAGTTAATCATTTATTCGTTCGTTCCTTTGTTTCTTGATTTACTACTTCGCTAATTAATAAAAACTTGTCTACAGAATGATGAGAGGTGGGCTGTGGTGGGCGTCAGCACGTTTCAGATGGTGGTCTCATGATGATCGTTCCAATGACAAATCGATGATAATGTTAAAGGTAAATTTGTTTTTGTCTCATTGTACCTTTGAAAGTACTCGAATTTGAACAAAGATTGAGTGTTATCTCAAAAAAATAAGTTGCCTATTTTTTCCAATTGCTTGTTTTTTATTTTAGTGAATTTTTTTTTCACTTCACAACACCACGCCAACAAAACAAACTACATTTCATTCTCGTCGTCGCCTTAAATTGTACCTTTTTGAACAATCTTTTTAATAATGTCTATTTATTTATTCATTAAATGTTGACTGGTTTCTAGTTTTTTTTTAAATTGGTTATATAATTTTTGGATATTTCTTGATTTACTTTGTATATATGCATGTATAAATTATTTCTGTTTAGTATGTTGATTTAGTCATTATGATATGTTGTGAACTGTTCTTACTAAATGTTCATGTTACGTGGTTTATTATCCTTCGAGAACTTCTAAGGAGTGTGTATGATAATAATAATAATGGATAATAATTATTTTTATCGGTCGATATTTTGTCATATTTGTTTATTTAAAATACGAATTTTAAAAAAAAATTGACATTTTAAAATTTTAATTAACCGTCACTTTTCATTTTTGAATGAATTCAAATAAAAGCAACTACTGTGTTTTTCTTTCTTTACTAAAATCTCGAAATTGTTTGTAGATCTGTACGGTTAACTGTTTGTTCGAGTTTGAACAGGCCTTGCAAATTTTTTTTATTTATTTTTGTTTTTATTTTTGTTTTAGTTGATTGATTGATCGGTTGATTGATCGGTTGGTTGATTGATTGACTGACAGACTGGCTGGCTGGCTGGCTGGCTGGTTTACTGACCGACCGACCGACTGACTGATTGTTGATTTATCTCATAGTATTGTATACATGAGAAAAAATCCGATTAAGCCACTGTTTTTCACCTGACAAAAGCAATTTCTATATTTATACTGACAAAAATAATTGTGATATGAATATATTGATTTATTTAAAGCATTATATGTACAAAAAAGTGTTATCGTAAGAGTTCTATGAAACCCTGTAAGCCACTGCTGTAAGCCAACGTATGATTTCAGCAGCCAGTTTCTTATGAGCACCAGCAGAATGTAAGATATTCATTGAATATAATGAAGATAGTTGATCAAATAACAATTTTGATTTATTTAGGCCGTTTATTTCATAAGCAAACCAATTTTTAACATGATCGAATAGTGTAAAAAAAAGGGTGACTATAGTTCAATTCTACTAAGCCAACCTTCGGCTTCAGTAAGCCATCGGATTTCACCGGACCAAAAGCAATTTTTATATTCAAATTAACAAAAATAATTTAATAATACATAATTCTATTAATCATTGTTAAAATTAAATAGAATTACTACAATGTTTTAAGCATATTAAATCAAGTAAATATTTCATTTAGCTTGCTCGTTAAAATCCATGCAATTTCGTAAGCCAACAATCCAAGCACGACAAATAGCCCGACCGATAGATCGAATTGATCGATTAGTCCTATTATTCTAGTTATGTGGTTTCGAGCAAGGGGAGACATTACTGAAAATAATTAAAAGTTGAAAAAATTGAGGTTCTTTGCAAATCCCTGCTTCAACCCATAAGAAGGTGTTGTATGCTGGTAAGTAGGCCTCCCCTTGGTTTTAACAAACTAATACTAAATATTTATTGGACTTAATATGTATAAAACATTGTAATTAAATCGAATTATGTAATTTAAAATTATTTTTGTCAATTTAAATGAAAATGTTGCTTTTGGTTTCGAAAACACGGTGGCTAATCAACCGCTTGACTTAAGAAAGCCATAGGTTAGCTTATTTACGAAATTGCAATATTTTCATTAAAAATTGACAAAAATAATTTTAAATTACATAATTCAGGTTCATTTGTTGATTATTTGATTGTCTGATTGGTTAGTTAAATGATTGATTGTTCGGTCAGTTGATTTGATTCAGCTGTTGATTGATTTATTTGTTGATTGACTGGTTAATTGATAGTACAGTATCAATCAAATAAAACTTATAAATTGTGGGTAGGTAAGGTGAGATGAGTTAATCATTATAGGTAAGTTAGGGCCCTGAGAGTAATTTAATTGCAGGTAGGTGACTGACTACTATTCTTGCGACTTGTTACTATTTTTTGTGATGCAATTCATTTTTGATTTTATTGCGTTATCGATGATGATAATTGTGACCTGACTGAATAAAAAACATCAAAGAAAATTTTTAAAATAGGATGGATAATTTCTAGCAGTTGTTATTAAACTGTATGGTAGTGAATTAGCCGGTATAAAAATTATATTCAATTCTTTCAAATATATTTTACCAAATATCATATGCACACAGACTGACTGGCTGACAGAAGGGCTGGCTGGCTGACTGACTGAAGAGGCAAAATATATATATATACTTTAGAAAGAAGTATATATATATATATATATATATATATATATATATATATATATAACTCTAACCCTATATAGGAATAAAGAATAGATCTGGCTGAATAAAAAGTGTAAAAGAAAGAGCCGATATTAAAACACAACATTATATCAAGACAGCCCAAATGAGGAAAATTTCTGTAGTTGTTTTATTATTGAAGACATATTCAACAAATGTCAAATTTCGCACACACACACACAGACGGTATATATATATAGTTATATGAATATATATATACAATTCATTTTAATGATGTTCTAAATTAGCAATCAGCTGTAAAACGCTGTCCACAATCTCGTCTGCCGGAAAGTCGAGTTCGGCGAATAAATGGCAGACGTTATCAGTATTGCACTGAGGCGTTCGTGTGACTATACCGAAAACTCTGAAATGATCAATCAATCAATCAATCGATCAATCAATCAATCAGTCCGTCAGACAGATAGTCAATCAATCAATCAATCAATCAATCAGTTAGTTAATTAATCGAACGATCAACCGCTATTTTATTTAAAATAACAACGTACTTCGAAATGTTCGTCTTATGGTTGGACTCATCCGTCCATGCCCACCTATTGAAGAATAAAAGATTAAAAAATTTATTTACAATCATACTCATAAACTTATTAATGTTTATTATTTATTAATTAAAAATTATAAATGCATTTTTAATGGTTAAACCACCTCTGATTGTCAACGTTCACTCCAGCAAACAAAACACTTTCAATTGGGTAGTGTCTCCGAAAGAACAGCCTTAAATTAGTTTAAACTCATAAGTCAATCGATCAATTAATTAATTAATTAATCAATTAATTAATCAATCACTCACTGATCACGTTAAATTGTAAACAACTGTACTCTTACGTATACACGTATAAAACTTTTTCAGGTTTATACGAAGACGGGCGGTATATAAACATCAAAAAAAATACACACAGCACTTGGATATTCACACCGAAATACACACTGATACACGTACATTCTACAAGAATCAGTCAGCACCAAGCCTCCATCCACTGACAGCATTAGATTACATACAGTTGTGCCACTTAAATCTTTATACTTATTTAATTTCCTATTCATCTGCTCGAGAGCTTTTGCCAGGGCAGCTGACTCCGCCAAGTGCTCTACCGGTTCCGTACACAGGTACAAAACATTGCATGTCAGGGTAGGTGGCGCTATTTTGTGGGTTATTGTTGTTGTGATTGTTGTTATTTGTTATTGTTGTTATTGTCATTCTTATTGCTGTTATTATTGTTGTTATTACTGTTGTTGTTATTAATAATAACACTACCACAACGAAGATAAATGTAGCTAAGATGATGCTGGCGATAAGGATGCTGCTACTGCTAATGATGTTAACGATGTTGGTGATGACAATGAGAGGGGCAATCGTGATAAGGATGACGAAGAAGACGATGATAACGATAGCATTAAAGTTGATTTAGTGATTGCAAATTAATTTAATAGAAAAGCAATTTACTTGGTTTAACTTTAGGTGGCGTAACGCTTGTATTGATTTGAAATGAAGCCACAGTGGTAGCAGCAGTAGCAGCAGTAGTAGTAGCAGCAGCAACAGCAGGCTGAGATTTATCTGAAAGTTTGTATTAATAAAAAAAATTAATTCTCATTTTATAATCAGAAAATTATGGGATATTCATAGTTTATCGCTAGTTATAATGTACTGCTAATTCTACTGCTGCTGCTACTACTACTACTGCTACTACTACTATTACTACTACTACTACTACTCATAAGAATAATAATAAAAATAATAATAACCTGGAACGCCTGGCATAATGAGCTTACAAGGTAATGACAAAGCAACCTTCGTATGTTCCTCTACAAGCTCTTTCAGGCTAGCTAAATAATAATAATAATAATAACAATATTATGAAAGTATTATAAATATTATTAATTAATGATTAATAATAATAATAAATATAATAATAATAATAACTTACAAAAAACTGGCTCTAGAACGTTTCCTTTGATCCTAACACCATTCGTCACAGACTCAATCAAATAATTTCTAACTGTTTGGTCCACAACGGGCTTTGCTTAGAAAAAATATTATTATTATTATTAACATTATTATAATTATTGTTATTATTATTATTATTATTATTAGTAGTAGTAGTAGCAGTAGCAGCAGTAGCTTTAATAGTATCGTAAACACCGTTTTGTTGCAATGATTATACTCTGTTTTGTTATTAAACTTTATAACAATGGTCATAACCATTGTTATCATCGTAATTATCACCATCTTAGTTATAATTATTATTATTATATTATGATCATAATTAACCATAATTACAATTTTCAATAGAGTGTCTTGACGAGAGTTGGTCAACTCTCAACATCAGACCATAGGCACGCTGAAATGAATTACTGTTCCTGATTACAAATGAACCGGCCGGCTTATTCCTCAAGTATTCCTGGGCTATAATTACCATAATATTTGAAAACAATCAAAATTATAATGATAATTATTATTATTTTTATCATCACTACCAACAATTATTATGATAGGTTGGTTGGTACCTTTAACCTTTAACCTTTTGTATGGTATGAACTGCATAGAAAGAAATAAGAACCAAACGTTTTCAGCAAATAGCGTACATACATACCTTCGGTTTTAGAAATGTGAGGTTTGTACCAGGAATCTACATGGTATTTTGTACTTTTCTTCGATTTTTTCTCGTAAGACGACACTAGAAAATATTATTATTTTATTATATCGGTAATAATTATCACAATAAAGATGATAATTATAATTATACTATATTTAATTATGATATATAATTATAATTATATTACAGTTATAATCGTACAACTCTAGCTTCAGTGTTTTTCAAACCGACGCATCACACACATTGCATGTTTTAACAGGCAGGATCTCAGGGCATTCGAACGCGGTCACTGCATCACCAGTGTCAGGCACCTTAACCATCACCCACTATTATTTTTAATCATTATTATTATTATTATTATTATTATTATTATTATTATTATTAGCATAAGATGTAACGATAACTATCCAACTAACTACTTTTTCCGAAGTCAAAGGTCTTAGTTGAGTTTTGTTCATGCAAATATATATCTAGTGCTTCATCCATTTCTTCCATCAACAATGATGACAGTTCGCTATTATTATTATTATTATTATTATTATTATTATTATTTTTGTTATTATTATTATTATTATTGCAAATATTTTGTAATCATTGCCACCATGGTGAAGGTTAACTTAATTAATTCAACCGACCTCCTATCATTTTCATAGCTGGCAGTCTCCACGGAACTATTACTAGAAGCAGCTTCAACATCATCGTCGCCATCATCACCATCGTCGTTACGACGACGATGGTGATGATGATGATGATCCTGGTTAGGGCGATGGCGCTGATGATGATCCTGGTGTTGTTGTTGTTGTTGCTGCTGCTGATGATGGTGCGGCAAATTTTTCGAACTTTTTTTTTTCATTCTGTCTTTCAGGAGCGACCTACTTTGTAGTATATCCCAGTTCTTTATGCCTTTGAAAAATTCTCGTTTCGCGCCGCAGAAAATGGCACTTCCTGTGCCATCATCTACGTCATCGTCCACGTCATCATCGTTTTTGTTGTTGTCGGAATCTGCGGACTAATATTTTATTAATATTATTAGTAGTAGTAGAGTAGTAGCAGTAGTAGTAGTAATAATAATAGTAGTAGTAGTAGTAGTAGTACTTGGCGATTGATGGATGGTTTTATCGCTATTTCAGCCGAACTGCCTGTAAATGAATGAAAAATGAATGAATGAAAGAATGAAGAAGAAAGTGAAAAATTTGTTGGTTTTAATAAAAAAAATTACTAACTCGACTTACTGCTGAGGCTGTCATAGGGACGCAGGGTCTGGATAATAATTATATTATTACATTATTTTCTAACATTCATCACTCACTCACTCACTCACTCACTCACTCACTCACTCACTCACTCACTCACTCACTCGTTCACTCAATCAATCAATCAATATCAATCAATAACTCAGTAGAACAGTTTATTGATCAGTCAGTTAATTAATTAATCAATCGATCAATCAATCAATCAATCAACCAGCCATTTAACAAACGATTCAGTCAACCAACCAACCAATCAATCAATCAATCAATTACTCAACCAAACCGTCAATCACCAATTTTAAAATCCTACCTTAGATCTCTCATCCAGTTTGGATACATGGACGGATGTAACGGCTTAATTATGGTTAAAATAATTATTAATAATATTAATAATAATATTAATAATAATAATAATGATGATGATGATCTACGAATACAAAAATTACAACAACAAAATCGCCATCTTTATAACCAGAATGTGCCCTTTTGCTTTTAGAATGAGGCAAATGATCGTACGTTTCCTTCAGGTAGTCAGCATACTTATCGGATGGTCGAATATTTCTAACTCTTCTAGTACTATTAATACTGCTGTTACTACTGTAAATAGCAGTAATGGGAGTCGTGAGGCTACTACTGCTACTGCTAACTGCAGTAGATGAAGTAGTGGCAGTTGTGGTAATGAGTTTTGTGGCTGAAGTAGTTGTAGTGGTGGTAGCGTTTGTCGTTTCGTTCGGTGATTGTTGACGGTGAGGATGATGGCGACTTGAGGGCCGTTTGTAACCTTTGTGGGTTATTTTTTGTTGGAAAGTGAGTTTTGTTGTGCGTGTGTATGTGCGTGTGTGTGTTTGGGTATGTATGTGTTTATCTGAATGTTTGCCTGTGTATGTGTGTGTGGTGTGTGTGGTTGCAGATGTAATTAAAATTGATAAAACCAGATTTTTACACATTACGACAATAACGAAACAAACAAACAAACATAGACGCCATTCTCATACCACGTGATTTCAATCTAGATTTTTCTTTTCCATCACCCAGAAAACAAACACCACCACCGTCATTATAATCCTTACTTTCTTTATCCCTATCCTTACTGTGGAATCCCGGATCAACACATTGACCCTTCATAACATCGTTCAACCGCTCTAACTCATCTTCTAATTCTCGGAGTATGTTTTGGGGGAAATTTTTATCATTTTGGTCGTGTTTTCTATTAGGAATTAATGGGTTTTCCTGCGTTGGTGTGCTTGATCCGTTTGTATTCGTATCCGTATCGTCCGGATAGCAGATGTCGTTATTGGGCAATTTAGTGTCAGTGAGAATGGTTTTGGTCTTGGTTGGGAAGGGGATTGTGTGGGTCTTAATGTTGTTATTTTCGTCTTCTGCAAAAGATATGCGCTTGATAATTTTTTTCGGATCTTTGGAGGTTTTTTTCTCCCTTTTGATGATATCTATATTCATATGACTTTCTAAAGACTTCGCTCGTTTTATACTGTCATTCTTTACCATTTTTACTTTCAAATGTTTTGGGTTTTTAGTTTCGGTTTCGGTTTGATTGAGGCAGATTAGTTTGATGTCGAGATCATCTTCCGGCTTGACGTCATAAATTATGACGCGCTCATTTAGAAGATCTTTCTCAAGATAACCATGTGAAATTAGCTCGATGTTTTCATGTATGCATTTAAATTGAATGGTTTCAGATGGAACCTCTTCGATTGTAGGACTTAATGTTTGAATAGTTTCTGTTGTAGTTGTGGCAGTTGGGGTCAAGCTTATAGCTGCTGAAGCTGACGATGCTGTTGTTGATGATGAAGTCGTTGTTGTTGATGATGACAACGATGATGTTGTTGTTGATGATAATGATGTTGTTGGTGATGGTGTTGTTAACCCTGACGTTGTTGCAGTAACAAAAGTAGTTGTAGAAGTTGTAGAAGAGGTTAGTAATGTTGATGCGAGGTTCATATTAGCATCGGGGCCATCATTGCTCATTGGCATACCGACATTATATTCGGGTATTTTTCTATCGGTCTGTGAATCGATTATATCGGTCTTGTCCGTATTATCGCACTTGACATTTGTTGATTTAGAATCATTTTGACTTTCATTGTTAGCATCATCAACACTGGATGTATTTTTTGTGCTTGCAATTTCATTAGTAACACTACTCATGATAATTTTGTTGTCGTCGTTGTTTATCAAACTTTCCGCATTTTTTCGATCGGTTTTATCGGTTCGAATATCGTCGATAACTGTCGGATTTTTAACAGTACATCCCTCAATACACTCGTTATAAATAAAAATCGGTTTCTCTTCAGCTGGCTGTACATTGTGAATAACAAAAACATCGTCCCTGGTCGTATTTGAATCCAGTTCCTCACGCTTCATACTGTTTTCTTTCGCATAGATACAAGAGCATTTATTATCAAATGCAATGGCTAAGTTGATGTTTGTTGAACTTTTGAGACATTTAACATGGCTTTTGTTGCTGTTGTTGTTGGTTGCTGTTGACGTGGATGTTGTTGTTGTCGATGGTGGTTTTGCAGTTGTTGAAATGATTGTTTCGTCAACATTATTTACGTCACGTGAGTTACCAATATTGTCGTCCTGACTGTTAGTATCACCATTTTTAGCACCAACATCTAAATTGTTTTTAGTATTTTTGCAAATTTTATTAACTTCCTTTTTCTTCTTCTTCGAGTTGTTTCTGGCCAGCATTTGGAAAACAACCTGCGGGCATTCGTTCAGAATGTAATCCAGCAGGTTATCCAACTGGTCCGGGTCAAAGTCAAATTTTAACGGGTACTCCATTGCAAAATTTTTAAAATTCAACAAAAATAAACGCTAATAAACTATCAAAATCAATTATAAAGTTAAACCAATTAGAAATCTTATTAGGGTGATTAAATGTTTAATAAGTTAAAAATCAAATGAGATTTTTGCGTTAAAATGTAAATTAATGCAATTATTTATAATAGATGAGTAATTATTTATTTTTACATACGAAACTGGCATATCCAACTTTGAATACTGCGTTATATAGAAAATTCAAACTAAGTTATCTAAAACATATAGGCTTTTACTGAACACAAACAAGAAGATAACAAAGAACCAAACAAAACACGCACATATATAAATACATACATACATATATACACGGACACACACATGCATACATACATAAGTACATGTATATATAGACAAACGTTCAGCAAACAGCATTGCATGCTAACAGCTAAAAAATTCAAAATATTTATCTCGAGAAATTTTAAACCTGTATCTCCATCTTCTGTCTTTGTTTTTTTTTCGCACGATGTCAGAAGTATTTGAGTCTCAAATGCACAAACACCCAACCACACACACACGCACACGCCCAACCATACACACATACACACACGTACACACACACAATTTTTCAATTTAATTTCAGTGCATTAAAAAACTCCAAAGTCAAGTCATTTCTCAATGCATTTTTTCACCCCGAAAAATAAAACGCCACAAAATTTAAAAAAAAAACTATAAAATCTATATATTATCTTTGGTTCTTTAGGAAAATTACCATCATTCCCTAATTATCTTTAAATTAGTGACAAACATAACACTAACGATAATAATTTGATAATTAATGATTAACTTATTGGTAAACTTATGATAAAAACTTCAAAACAATACCAATTCATCGATTAAATATAGTTAATAAAATATTAAACAATAACAATATATATGTTAGGCTGTCAGAAAACTAAGACAATGTTAATAAATTTTGATAAAATAACGTTTAAAAAAATTAAATTGTAATTATATAACAAGTATGTTAGTATATGTTAGGCATATATTCTGTGCGTGTTTGTATGTACTTGTACGTATGTTGTGTGTGTGTGCGTGTGTATGTATGTATGTGTGTGTGTGTGCGTGTGTATGTATGTGTGTGTATCAAAAAAAGCAATTTAATAAAAAGCAATTTTAAAATTTTGTCTGAATATCAGAAGAAAATAAAACAACATAAATTTTTTAGTATTTAGGCAAACAATTTAAATATGTATATATAAATATATAACACACACACACACATATATATACATATATATGTATGTGCGTGTGTGTGTATGCGCGTGTAGGTACGTATATAGATGATTAGTAAAAAAAATACAAGATCTTTGGATCTTTGGTAACAAATTTAGAAACAGCTGATTCAAATTCCCAATGGTAACGTTGTGACTAATCAACTAATTCATAGTATAACATAATCATAACTCATCAAACTAAACATTCTCGAAATATTACATACGAATTTCATTGGTCCATTTAAAAAGCCAAGCTTCAAAAGTGCTTTCCTTCTAAATTATGAATCGAAGTCATTAATTATGCGCGGGTACTTCAAATAAAATACGTCATAATAATAATAATAACAATAATAAAAATAATAAAAATAATAATAACAAACAATAATAATAAATAACAAACAATAACAAAATAATAATGGTAATACGCGTTAGGCTATTTATAGCAGCAAACTCTAAATCCTTAAAATCTAAATTTAGACTTTAAGACGGTTTCACACTCTAGTCAGTGATTCCAAGTTCATTCAAATGTAAGTTGGTTAGTAAGATACTACCATATAAATCTTTATATTGTAGTATCTTTAAAATAACACATCTGTATTTTATAAAGACGGCTCTCAAAATAACGTTTGTAAATACACAAACACACACAGACAAACAAACACACACAGACAAACAAACACACACAGACAAACAAACACACACAGACAAACAAACACACACAGACAAACAAACACACAGACATGAATACACACATGCCAAACGAACCTACAAAAAAAACACATTAACACACCAAAACACAATAACATAGGATCGTTACATACACACAAACTAGCAAATACAGAACAGAATACTATCCAAGTAACTATCTAACTATCTATCTATATCTATTTTTAAAGTTTTAAACATCGTAAACGTTATGTATATACAATATATATATATATACAATATATACAGAAACTAACAAACTATATAAATATTTTGGGCAATTATATATATACAAACATATAATAATAAAGGCACAACAATTCTATATATATATATATATAAAGTCTAAAGGTCAACCAATGATTTTTAATGCATACATAGCAAAAATTTATCAAAAATGGCAAATGGCGAATTCTAAACTAACCTAAGCATTTCTGTAAGGTGGTTATGCGCGATAACAATAATAATAATAATAATAATAAATAATAATAATAATGAGCAATAAAAAACAACAATAATAATAATAATAATAAGTCATAATTATTATTTTCATCGTCATCATAGTCAAGTTAATTTTACCCTCGAACACTTCAAATCTCAACAGTTCAAAGAAACGATACGGAAGAATAATAACCATAATAATAATAATAATAATAATAAATAATAATAATAAGAAGAAGAAGAAGAGGAATAAGAAGAAAAAAAAAGAAGAAGAAAAGAAGAATAAGAAGAAAAAGAAAAAAGAAAAAGAAGAAGAAGCAAATAATAACAGCAATAAAAAGCAAACGTCACTTAATGTTGACATCAAGTATATTTGCATGATCATGATTCATGAATGTGAGTAGGAGAAAAGTCGAAGAACGAGCATTTTTTATTATTATCATTTATATGTGTGTGTGTGTAAATGTATGTGTGTGTGTCTGTGTGTAAATGTGTGTGTATGCATGTACATAGCGCAAAATATGAAAGGCTTTTTAATGAATATATGAAATGTATTATTCAATTTAAATCATTAAAACGAATCATGGAAACAAATTCATGTTTTCAAGAAAATACAATAAAAAACACACGCATATAAAAAGAGAAAGAAACAGACAGAGAGTAAAGGAGAGAGAGAGAGAGAGAGAGAGAAAAAAGAGAGAGAATTATGCATCGTAATTTGATTTGACGTGGAAAAAATTTTACTTATCATTAATAGTAAGTAATACTATCCTTACGACATTTTTTGATGCATTGTGCCGCTACTACTACCACTACTACTACTGCTACTACTACTGCTACTTCTGCTGCTACATTACTACTGCTACGACTACGACTGCTGTTACCACAACTTCTGCAATTGAATAATAACGATAATATCTTTAATATATGAATACTCCGCCATATATGATGCAATTAACAATAATTACTTAATACATACATACATACAAACATGCATACAGACATACATACACACATACATACATACATACATATATACACATACATACATAAATACGTACATAAATATATACAAAAGATATAATAACAATAACTGCAATTATTATTATTAACTTTGTATGTATATAAATACACATATTTTACCCTCTTAACGTCACGATGATGAAACTTAATTCCATGATGATGATGATGATGATGATAATAAGAGCAACAAAAACAATAACAACAATAATAATAATAATGTCATTTTTATAGCGCTGTATATTTAGCGTCAGAGAGCCAATTACCAACTGTACAAGAGCAGGCAGTGGACATTACATTACGTACACCAGCGAAAAACCCTTGATAGATGCCATGGAATTCTTTGTAATCGAACCCAGTCGCTGCCACATAGAAGACGGGAACTTAACCACTAGACCACTAATTTTAGGCTAAAGATTTCCGAATTAGTTAACAATGTCAATAAACTTTAATTAATTTCTTTTGGATGCGCTATGTCATGCTCAGACAGAATAGGATCAGATGATAACATTGATGCTAATATGCGTGTGTGTGTTAGTGTGTGTTAGTGTGTGTATGCGTGTGTGTATTAGTGTGTGTATGCGTGTGTGCGTGTTAGTGGGTGTGTGTATCTGTGTGTGCGTGTGTCAGTATGTTAACAGCACTTGAAACGATTTTGAAGGCATGTACATTTTTCAATAACGAACAAAATAATAATAATAACAAAACAATAATAATAATAATAATAATGAAAATCATAATATTTAAAATGATAAGACATAATAAAATTGCAACAACAAAAAGGAAAATTTACTATGCGCAGAAATAAACTTGAAAATATAACATGATAAGCCGGTACAACATAAGCAATTTTTCATCATGGGTTCTGCCTTTACGAGTAAATCTTTTTAAATATAAATAAAAAATAACAAAAAGGATGGAACAAGAATCTATAAAAAACAAATAAATAAATTAGTTAATTAATTAATTAATTATTGAGAAAAAACAAAACAAATAAATAATAACACAACTGAATGACAAATTGTTCTAGCTTAGCCTGGATGATGTTGAAGATCAATATGTATTATAAAGATCAGACAAATACACACACACATACCAAATATAACAAGTGCAGTATACGTATGTGTGTATAACAGTTGAAATCGTCATGATTTATTCTACTATGGCGTGTATTTTTTGTGAACTTTTGATATAGATATATATCTATATTTATCCAGTTTAAATTAAATTAAATTGATGGAGTTTAAAAGTTTGAGTGAATGTGTGTATCTATGTGAGTGTACATGTGTGTATGCGTGCATTGTATGTACATATATGCGTATGTATGTATATACGTGCGTGTGTGTGTGTATGCGTGCGTGCGTGTGTGTGAGTACAAATTCCAGGTTACCATCCATAAATAAATAGATCCTGAATATAGTGACACCATACATAATGAATGAATAAATATATCAACAAAAACTCTTAAAATTCAAAACGCCCGTGAAAAAATTAATCAAGTAACTAAATGAGAAAATAAAAGTCTGCAAAATAATAATAACAACAACAATAATAACAATAACAACAATAACAATAATAACAATAACAACAATAGTAGCAACATTAGCGAACATTATTATGGTAAATGAAATGAGAAGAGAGCTAAAAACAAGACGAACATTAACAAGGTGATGACGACGACGATGACGACGATGGTGATGATGATTGCAATGGTGTTGGTTATCATAGAATTCTAAATCGGTAGAGTACGGAGAAAAATACTCTCAAAAAGTTTATAAATACATATATGAATATATATATACATGTATATATATGCATATATATATATACATGTATATACATGTATATATATATATACATGTATATATATATATGTATATATATATATATATACATACATATTTGTTACCATAAATAATGGAAAAACTGTTAACTAAAGATTTTAATTATATCATAACAATAACCTATTATAAAATGCTTTTTCTATATATATGCATATATATATATATATATATATATATATATATATATATATATATATACGTGTTAAACTAAGTATATATAACTATATTAAAATAGAAAATTTTCTAGACCAATCGCGATTCAGTAAAAGTGGGTGGTGTCCAATCAGAAATCGACGAACTTTCTTAGCAGCTAGGATATCAATCAGTCAAAAAAAAATTTGAAGTCCTTATGAGTCGAGAGAGTCGAGAGAGAAAAAGAGAGGAGAGAAGAGAGAGAGAGAGAGAGAGAGAGAGAGAGAGAGAGAGAGAGAGAGAGAGAGAGTAGACCGACCAATCAGAAATCGACGAATTCTTTCGCACACTTCTCATTGGACGATATGCGCAGGGGTTCTTCTTCATATTCTTCGAAGTTACTTCCATCTCCCGGTCCCTTGCACTTCGGTATGAATGGCGCTTCGATCTGTTTGTGGTTTTTTCGTTTTCAAAAGTTATTATTATTATTACCTCTAGAGACATTTTTAAAATCTTTCTTTCATCTGTCAATTAATGAAGAATTTACTGCGTAGAAATGAGCAAACAAATTAAAACTAGTCTGATGTAGATGGATGAAAGTTAAATATTAATTATTTTAAAATTTTAATTAAGTATTATTACAAGTCGACATTGCAAATCGTTATGGAACGACAACAACAACAAAACATCAAAAAAAAAACCTAACAGAATGGCGGGCTTACCTTTTTTTGATATAGAGCAATCCAGTCCACAGGTCCGAACCATTTGTGGCTTTTGACGTCGTTGGCTCCATTTTTAAGGTTTCCATAACGATTTGTAATGTCGACTTGTAGTAAATTTCTGAGAAGGTCTTTTAGTTCGTTTGAGAAGTGCGAGGGGAAACGAACCTGAGACGATATTGTGATTGGTTGGTCGGTTGTGATGTGTGTCGGTCTGTTGTGATTGGTTGAGGCCAACCTGATTGATGGCTTATAGACTGATGACGTTATTTGAATTAAAACGAATTGAATCTTAACAATGAAAATAATTTAATTGCTAGTCAGCAACAACAATCGAAAACATTAAAAACCTTTCCCGTAACGATCTTTTCGTAAATTTGTATGGGTTGGTCTGCAAAGAATGGCGGATAGCCCGCTGCCATTTCGTAAACAAGAACCCCTAAGGCCCACCAATCGACGGCCTTATTGTACCCCTGTGCGTGTGTGTTTGTGTGTGTGTGAATATGTGCGAGTACAAAGGCCACAAACATCATCGCCTTCATTACCCATTATGTATTTATCATTCCCATCATCCAAATCAGCGGTTTTCAACTGGTGGACGCGTACCCCTAGGGGTACACCAGCTGTTGCCAAGGGGTACGCAGAACAACTTTAAAAAAACAAAAAATATTTTAAGAAAGCTATTTTGTACAAAATCAGATGAAGTGACAGTCAGCAGAGTAAAGTATTTAACAATATTAAATACTAAATATTTTATATAACAGATTATAGATAGAATATTATTCCGACTTCTATGGCTATTACGTCAAAACGAAATGAGAATTCGCAAAATCTCATGTCCTATTTGCCAGGGCTATTTTAATTTTAATTTATTATAATTATGCATTCAGCGGATGGCAGAAGCTCACACTGTAAACTTGTAAAGTTTAAACTTAATAGTTTACGGTCATACTTTACAAGTTGACCCCAAGGGCTTCTGCTATCTGCTGAATGCATGTTAAAATAGAATTAAACGTTAATTTTTTGTTATTTTTTCCTTGTTTTGCTATTCTTTGTTGTCATGGTTTCGTCATTACACAAAAATAAATTAATGAACCTCATATTTTATCTTAATTATTAATAAATACAATTTAATTTAAAATATCGGAATTAATTATAAAAACATTTACTAAAATTTCTTAGATAAAGTTAAAGTTAAACAATGGATAAATGGCTCAAACAACAACCATTAAAACAAAAGTCATCCTCTAGCATCGCAACTGAGCCGATGCTCAGCGCAGATGTCCATGCAGATTCAGACTCGGATGATGACAATCAAAAACTGCGGAAGATTAGGCGATATGATAAGTATTTGTCTCTTGGATTCTCGTGGTGCGGTGAAGAAAAAGAGCCAAAGCCACAGTGTGTCGTATGTAATGAAAAATTATCAAATCATTCGATAAAACCTTCATTACTTCAACGTCACTTTAATACAAAACATGCTCTTCTCAAAGATAAACCACTAGAATTTTTCAAAAGAAAAGAAGTTGAATTGAAACATTGTAGGAGCACCTTAAAATCATTCACAGGGGCTAACGCTAACTCACAAGCTTTAGTGACGTCTTATTTGGTAAGTCTGAGAATTGCTCAAACTAGGAAACCACACACTATTGGGGAGATTCTTATATTGCCTGCAGCTAAAGATATTGTCATCCATTCTAGGAAAAAAGCTACCAATAAACTTAATGTCGTTCCATTGTCCGATAATACAGTTTTTTGAAAAATTCATGATTTAGCATCAGATGTAAAAACCATTCTTATTAAAAGAATCCAAGCAAGCAAATATTTTGCAATTCCGTTAGATGAAAGTACAGATGTTACAAACTTTGAACAGCTGATGATGTATGTTAGGTATGAATTTGAACAGTCAATTGAAGAGGAATTTTTGTTCTGTGAGTCTTTATCAGGCCGGACAACAGCTTTAGAAATATTTAAAAAAGTTGATGATTTCACGACTTTAAATGGAATAGATTAGCAGCATTGTGTGGGAGTGTGTTCTTTCTGATGGTGCAGCTGCGATGACTGGCAAATATGGGAGAGTAGTCATGCAAATTAAACAGGTTGCATCAGAAGCAAAATTCACACATTGCAGTATTCACCGTGAAGCTCTTGCTACCAAAGCCATGCCTGCTAGTTTGAAAACTGTTTTAGAACAATCTGTTAAAGTTGTTAATTTTATAAAAACTCGGGCTCTCAATTCTCGTTTGTTTTCAATAATGTGTAATGAAATGGGAAGTGACCATGAAAAGCTTCTTTTGCACACAGAGGTACGATGGTTGTCACGTGGAAAAGTGAATCTTGACCCTTTTGAACTACGTTCAGAAGTGCAAATATTTCTCATGGACACTGGATTTCAAACAGCCGATTTATTTCTGAATGAGTTATGGTTAATGAGGCTGGCGTATTTAGGGGACATTTTTGGTAAACTGAACGACTTGAATTCTAGTTTGCAAGGACGAAATATAACTCCGTTTGTTGTTGTTGACAAAATAAATGCAATCATTAGGAAGCTACAGTTCATGGTTTCAGATGTTCAACAATTTCAAGTAACAGCATTTCATCACTGCACAGATTCTTGACTGAGAACGAACTTCAACTGCATCCTAACATGGCTGAAGATATCAAGAACCATTGTTCTCAGTTAATATTGAATTTTCGAACCTATTTTCCTGAAAACTTTGATGACAAAACTTGGATAAGAAATCCATTTTCTGATGTTACATTGCCAGCTGACTTTTCTGTTCAAGAAAGAGATCAATTCATTGAACTTTCGTGTGATGGTGGATTGAAGAATGAATTCAACAAAGACTTGTTGAGTGATTTTTGGCTTAAAAGAAGAGAAGAATATGGATTAATTTCTGACAGAGCTTTGAAATTTTTGATCCTTTTCAGTACTTCTTATCTCTGTGAAACTGGATTTTCTGCAATGTTGGCAATAAAAAACAAATACAGATCAAAACTTGAACTTGAGTCAGACTTGCGTCTAAAATCGACATTAATAAAGCCTGACATTGCAGAATTAGGCAAATCTAAGCAAGCCCAGTGCTCACATTAACATGATTATACTTTTATTGTGACAATGAGCGGAACTCTCTGACTCTTTGTCTTAGCAGAAAACTATGACTATTAGGTTTTTATTAGCATAATAATTATTATTAGCAGGACTATATTTTCATGTTTTTCAAAAAGATTACAAAAATAAAAATAACATCGTTTTCGATTAAATTAATTTTGGCATGAAACCTTAATAATTTTAATATAATATTAATATTATAATAAATTCAGTAAAATGTATAAGCAGATAGGACTGTCACTAAAGTGACTGTACTAAAATAACCAAAATTTAATAAAATAGCTAAATTACTAAAAAAATAAAGTTTCTGAGAAATTTTTGTCTGATGGGGGTACGTACGCAAACAACATTTTAACTTTGGGGGTACAACAAAAAAAAAGGTTGGGAACCCCTGATCCAAATCATCATCACACACACGCGCGCGCATACACATCGTCACTCACTAACTTTACTAAGAATTATCTCTGGCGCCAAATACTCGGGCGTACCACAGAGCGTCCACGTTCGACCTTTGACCTTTTTGGCAAATCCGAAATCAGTGACCTGATTCAAAATTACGCATAGTAGTTATTTTATAAGTTACCAATTACCGATATTGTGAAAGTAGTAGCTAGGACAAAGCTATTAGTAAAAGCACACAGGCAGACAGACACACACGCACGTACACACACACGCACACACACACGCACAGACAGACAAGCAACCTTAAGATATCCATGCATATCGATGAGGAGGTTTTCAGGTTTCAAATCTCTAAACATGACATCCATGTGATGGAGGTATTCAAGAACTAAGGCTATTTGACCGGCGTAAAATCTCGAATGTGATTCTCTGAACGTGTGCGTATGTGTGTTTCTGTTTGTCTGTATGTGCGTATGTCTGTGTGTATGTCTGTACGTGAGTACGTATGCACGTGTGCACGTTTCTGATAGTAATTCGTAACTGAAGGAAAAATTGAATAATAGCTATCGTTTCAATCAAACATAGTGTCCAATATTATGTATGGTTTTAATGATGGGATAATCTCTTAGTACCTATTACAAATCTTTCTGTCGGCAGCACATAGCAAGTGCTCTTTCGCCAAATTAGCAGGATCAAAAACTTATTTCACACAGTACAATGTCCCTTTGTTAAAATTGCTACGACCAAAAACTTAAGTTTGGTCGCCAGACGAGACAAGTTGTCTAGCGGCTGTCTACGAGAAGTTGCTAGAATAGATGCGCAATGCGGTCTACTGGTTGACTGACTCAGTCTATGCTTCATGATTCAACATCACTATCATCTATATCACCATCATCATCATCACCATCGCCGCCAGCCATCGTCATCATTATCGCCATCATCACTAACGTAAATTTTCCGGACTGTCTCAAATGTAGAAACATCTCGCCCCCAGTAACAAATTCGAGTACCATGTACAAATTTGAATTATCCTGCGTGATTGATGTCGTGTGTGTGTGTGTGTGTGTGCGTATGTGTCTGTGTGTGTATCTCTGTGTGTGGGCGTGTATTTCATTATTATTTTCATTTAAAATTATATATACTTTCTATTTGATTAGTCACGGGTAGTAGTCACATCTTAACAATCGCACCTTCACAATGGTTAGTTCAACATATGACTACTTCAATCTCATGAAATGTATACAATACATGAACAAGCGAAGGTAGAAATAAATAAATTAATAAACCAGCAAATGAATGAATGAATGAATGAACGAACGAATGAATTAACATACAAATATGCAAATTCATATGACATTATATTAAAATATCAACAACGAACTGAACAAATGAACGAAGGAAACGTAGGAATGGATGAATGAATGAATGAATGAATCATAATAACCCAGGTATCAAATGACATAAACAAATTAAAACTTATTATTAAATTCTCCAAGACTACAACAATGATGATGATGATGATGATGATGATGACTATGACGAAGGTGATAAAAGGAGAAAACCATAACGTAATAATAATGATGATGATGGTGATGATGATGGTGATGATAATGATGGTGGTGATGATGGCGATGATGATGATGGTGGTGATGATGATAATGGTGATGATGATGATGGTGGTGGTGATGATGATAATGGTGGTGATGATGGTGATGATGATGGTGATGATAATGATGATGATAATGATGATGATAGTGACGATGACGACGATAATGGAAACAAAGAACAAACAACAACGACATAGATAATTGAATCAAATTGTAGTCTAATTGACAGAGATGGAGGAAGGTCATATAATGACAGTAAAGGTATGCTCAACAACAATAACAATTGCATCTGCAATGATAGAAGTTAAAATTGTAGTAGTAGTAGTAGTAGTTGTTGTTGTAGTAGTAGTAGTAGTAGTAGAAATATTAGTAGAAGTAGTAGTGGTAGTAGTAGTAGTAGTAGTAGTAGTAGTAGTAGAAGTAGTAATTATTATTACTTATATAAAAATGACCTTGAAACTATAGTTGAGTTGTACGATGAATGGAAAGGTTGTTGATTGTAGTATCTTCTTCTCGTTCAGTGTATGTTCCACTTGTTTCAGTTTCACTATCTGATCGTGGTTGTTGTTGGCGACGATGAAGAAGAAAAAGAGAAAGAAAAAGAAGAAGAAGAAGAATAAGAAGAAGAAGAAGAAGAAGAAAAAGAAGAGGACGATGATGATGGTATTTGCGATGGCGGCAATGATGATGGCGTTGATGATTTGGATGATAATGTTATTGCTATCGTTGCTGTCGTTGATGATGTCATCCTATTAACAAGGCAAACACACACAAACAAGCAAACAAATCAAACTTTTTGTTTGTCTAAGATCTTCATAGCGTGGAAATGTTTGGTAGATTTGTGCTGAACGAGCATCACCCTGCCAAACGAACCGGTGCCCAGTGTTTTTATCCTATCAAATTCATCCAAACTTGAGGTGTTCTGTGATTGGTTGGGTGAATAGATGATTTTTCTACGATTGGTTGATTGAATAAGCGAACTGTCCTGTGATTGGTGGATAAAGTGAACAAAATAATTGTGATTGGATGATCAAATGAATGAGATGATCTGTGATTGAGTAAATTAATTGAATGTAGTGCTTCTTGATAGAATGAAATTATATGTAAGAGAAAACGAATGAACGAACGTACGAATGAACGAACGAATGAATGAATGAATGAACGAACGAACGAACGAAAGAATGAACGAATGGATGAATGAATGATAACAACAATAATAATAATAATGCCGATGATGATGATGAAAATAGTGATGATGATGATTGTTAAACAAACAAAAAATTTCAGCGAAGTGCTTGTAGATTACATTAGTGAAAAATGCAATAAAGCATTAACTCAATAAATAAATAAGTGTGTGGTGCTTAATAAAAATAATAAAAACACCAAATGAATATTATTCTTATTATAATTATTATAATTATTTTAATAATAATAATTATTATTATTATTGCTATTTTTATCCATTTTCTTTCAATAATTTTTCCAATCACATCATCATCACCACCATTATCAACTTAACAATAACGATGACGATGACAATGATAATGATGTTGGTTATGATGATAGTTATGAAGATGATGAAGATGATGATGGTATCTAAGAAATCTGAAACTACATAAGCAGACAGTTAAGTATGTAAGCTAATAAATAACCTCATTAAAAATAATAATAACTGAATAAAATGTAAGCAATAATAATAATAACAAAAACCATAATAATTTTCAAAACAATTCACTGTAAAATAAAATTGTAAGTAATAAATAATAAAAATATTGTATATATGATTGTATGTGTGTTGTGTATGTAATTATGTATGTAACTAAGTATGCATGTTTGTATGTATGAATGTCTGTGTGTGTGTATGTGTATGTGCGTGTGTATGTGTATATATATATATATATATATATATATATATATATATATATATATATATATATATATATATATATATATGTGTGTGTGTGTGTGTGTGTGTACATTACCTGTGGGTTTTCATCCCATTTTCGGTCGAATTGATCCTTGGCATCAGCTAAAAATGCCTTTACTGTGTGGGTAAAAATATTTAATGAATGAATGAATGAATGAATGAATGGATGGATGAATGAATGGATGAATGAATGGATGAATGAATGGATGAATGAATGGATGAATGAATAGATGGATGAATGAATGAACGAATGAACAAATGGGTAAATAAACAAATGACTTAATAACTGATGATTACAATTACTTATATGCTCCAGTTTAAATCAAATTTTAAAAACAAATCCATTCCATTTATATATTTAACAAATAAAAATAAACTCAATTAGCCATTATACAAAAAAATACACGTACACACACGCGCGCACACGCACATACACAAACACACACGCACACACACATACCTGTGTGTGTTTGCCCCTTTTGCATATGCGTGTGTGCGTGCGTGTGTGTGTGTAATAAATAGTCAAGAACTATTTATAGATAAAATCTAGTGAATCATTCACCTCCAAAAAAATATACATGAAATAACTCTTAATTTTAAAAATTAATAAAAATAAAAATTGTAATAATAAACTATTTAAAGAATATAATTAATGACTTTTTATCTGAAAAAAATAATTTATTTGAAATAAAAAACAAGTTATTTATTAGCAGTTGGGTTCTTTAAATAGGTTGTTTAATAATAATAGAAATAATAATAAAATAATAACAAAGATTATCAGTAATAACTATTAATAATAAAAAATCCAATACTCAGTGCTGAGTTATTACATTTGTGTTGTTTGTCTGTCTGATTGATTTATGAGGGATCTTCAATTTTATGTTTTTACTTTTGGTTCAAACTTTTAAAATTCTTCTAAATTTTAGCAGTCTATGTTTAGATAAAAATATGAAACTAAAAGAGAACTTAGATGATAGGTAGTACATACAGCAGTCATACAAATCTTTGAATATATAAAATAATGAAAAAATAACTGTAAAGCACACACACACAAACACACACATACATAAAAGGAAACAAACCCACACATACAAATGACCACACACAGATACACATACATAGATGAAACAAAGATGAATTACACCATACATTACATTACATTACACTACATGTACACAACAAGAAAGTGTTCTTTGACCAATCCCCAAACACATACAAACAAACGCACACACACATACACACATACATACAAACAAACAAACAAACACACACAAACATACAAACACACACACAGACACAAACACACGCACACATACATACATACACAGCAAACAAAGTTGACTTACACCAAATACTACAATTACACCATATCACACTACATGTACAAAACAAGAAAGTGTTCTTTGACCAATCCATCCTCTTAATTCTTAGAAAAATAAAATAAATAAATAACAAAGATAAAGCAGAATAAAATGAGATAAAATGCAAATAATTAAAAAATAATAATATTACAATACAAACAAAAATATTAAGATAATATAATACCAAATACAGCAAAGAAATTCTTCTACTTTACTCTATTTATAACATCTATTCATCTAATCCTGAGTTATCTATTTTAAATTTTTATTTTTTTAAAATATATTTCTAGCTATTAGCAAAAGAACAATTTATTAAATATGTAATTAATTAATCAATCAATCAATCAAAGCACTATTTTCATGATTTTCAACAGCCCTCTTCAATAAATCTTGCAAACAGATGGGTCTTGAGATCCGCTCTGAACTTTGTAAAAATGTAAATGATGGAGAAGTAGTCAAAGAAGGAGGTAGAGAGTTCCAAAGAAAAGGGTCAGAAAAAGCAAGTGCAGATTTAGCAAAAGAGTGTTTAACAAGCATAGAAGAAGGCCAAGGATAGAACCACTGAGGTACCTCAAAAGTAAGAGTAGAAGAGTTAAAAGTAGAATCATTAAGAAGTAAGAACAACAGAAGAAAAATGATTACAGAGATAAGAAGAGAACCAAGATAGACATGAATCTATATTAAAATTAAATATTAAATTAAAAAGAATCTATGATCAACAATTCAACAGTTTCAAAAGCAGAAAAAAAGTTAAGTTAAGAGCAAGAAGAAGATTACTAGTTTAACTGATTATAATTGAAAATTTAATTACGATTTTCATTTTAGTCTCTAATAATAATAAAAAACAATTAAAAAAACAATTTAAATTTCCAAAATACAAAAAATTACCATTTTCACCATCACCCTTTTTGCTGGCCGATGTATTACCCATGACGATTTTATTACGCAAATAATTATTTAAATATTCAAAAATAATTATCAATTATTTAAAGTAATTAATCCGTACGAAAGTTAAAAAACTTGAAACTCTTCTTAAGGGAATCGATGAAACCATCAATGACAAAAAACAAAAAAAAGAAAAAAACATTGAGTTATATAATTCTATGGAAGCCATAGGTTGGCTAACTAGGATTGAGCTATAGTCATTCTTTTTTTTTTACCACATTCGATCATGTTAAACTTTTGTTTGCTTATGAAATATACGGCGTAAATAGATCAAAATTTTTATTTAAACAACTATCTTCATTATATTCAGTACAATAACGGTTACAGTAATTGTTGTTACATAGGTACGCACGAAATTTGAATTTTTCTGAGAGCCATTAAAATAACATGAGACCACACCTTATTTAACATCAATAGTAAAACTTAAAAATATATATATACAATGAGTAAATATATTTATTTATTTATTTAGTTAGTTAGTTAGTTAGTTTTGTGTGCATATAATATTTTGTAAAAAGAATTTTGATAGGAACGAATATGATTCGTGTTAAACACTCTTTTGCCAAATCTGCTTTTGCTTTTTCTGGTCCTTTTCTCTGGAACTCTCTACCTACTTCTCTAACTATTTCTCCATCACTTGCGAAGTTCAGAGCGGATCTCAAGACCCATCTGTTTTCAAAATTCATTGAGGAGCGCTGTTGAACATCGCGGAAATAGCGCTTTATAAGCTAATTGATTGATTGATTGATTGAATATGGTTATACTTGCCAGCTAATTAACCATCGTACTGTTAAATAGCTACAGTTAAAATGACGTAATTTCCTCCAACGACAAAAAAAGAAATTCTAATTGGCTGGTTTGATCTGTTATATTTGATATGTTTTTGTATAATGATTAACAGTAACGCGATGTTTTGTAGAATCATAATCAACACCAATTTTGCAAGAAATTTAATTAACAATTTTTTTTAAATGTCAAGGTCGGTTTTTTGATGTGTTTTTCCTAAATCAAAAACATCATGTATGTGATTATGTATGTGAGCATGTTAGCATGAATGTATGTGTGAATGTTTGTGTGCATGAAATTAAATCAAAAAAATTTTAAAAGGTTAAAGTTGGTTCCTCTGGTGTGTTTTTGTCAAATCAAAAGCATCATGTACGTGATTATGTACTTAGACTTATAAAAAAAAGCGAAAAAGCTGCTATTGGTGCATGTTGAATCATACATGGGCCACTGCATGTATAACAGCGTTGTTGTAAGTTGGATAAACATGGAAAGAATTAAAAAAGCGATTTAGTATCTTTTAAAGCTTTTTCTGTATAAGATAAAAATGAATAAAGAAGAAGTTAAAAACTTTGTTTTCTGTATAAATAAGTTAAAAAACAATGATAAAAATAATGAAAAATTGAACCAGAAACTGATCAAAGCTGAATGCTCTGGTATTTCTTAAAAGTTGTATCTATGACGGTCTCAACCCTTATATGTATGTATATATATATATTTGTGTGTATGTGTGTGTTAAATATTTCAATATCGTGACAGATGGTACGTTTGTTAATAAATAAGCAATCTAGAGAGGCGTGTCGTTGAAATACTGGCTCCTCTAGAACTGAATGTCAACTGAAATTGACGGCTGACTATTTGAAACATTTTGCATTTTGCTGAATTCATTAAGTTAATGGGTGGTTTATGGTCAGTTTACCATATAGTTCTTATGACTTATTTCATGTGTGCCTGTATATATATATATATATATATATATATATTACCAAGATATATATATATATATATATATATTACCAAGATATATATATATATATATATATATATAAACTTTCAAAAGCAAAAATTTCGGTAGATATTTTCAAATATTGCTTCAATTAAAAAATTAGTTTAAATAATCTAGTTTAAAAAATTAGAAACAAAATTTCTTTTTCAAAAATTGAATCCTTTCTTTCTGCAGAATGAGTTTGCTATTAGTGGTTTTGTTTTGCCAGGTGATCAGAGCTGGTTAGTTAACACTTTCCATTAAATAATTCATTAAATTATTTCAGTAATTTTAAAAATTTTGCATTATGCAGCTTTGAGAAAAGCAAATTCGCTTTGTTTTTTCCACTTAAAAAAACGAAATTGATTTCTTATGCCACAAAAGCTGAACGTCCGTGTTCAACACACACCATGCCTGTGGTTGTTGGCTGTGCAATATTACAGCCACAAAATCATGACAATAGATGGCGATCCTATCGTCTGAGTTGAGTTTAATTGCCTAACATCGTTGAGAGAAATTGAATTAAAAACGACTCATATTTCAAAACAGCGAAACTATCATCACCTGTAATTGTAAACATAAATAGAATAATCGAAATAATTTTGAGTGCAGCCAACTCCAACGTTTGTAAATTTTTAGTGAATTTTCATGGAAGGTTCATTACGAAACCCCCATTAGGCTTTCATGGCGTACGAGGTCTCAAACGTTCACACCGACTGCCCTATCACAAGAACGTTACAGATTCCAACTCAACAATTTTAAATAAAGTTTTTTTGCAAATTATTAAAAGTTTCAGATTTGTCCACTTTGAATAAAATAATTTGCTCAACAATATAATTCTGGATCAACTTCAAGTTGTGTTCATGATGATTATACATTGTTGAAAGCTATGATTTCCGAAATTTTTTTATCAACTCTTTGCTTTAAGATTTTACCTAAATACTACTACTAATCAAAAAATACTTCAATAAACATTTAAAATTAGTCAATTTCATTGTTGTCGTTAGTAAAATTATCTTTTGTTTAAGTTTAAAAATTTGTTTATTAATTTATTTATTAGAATTTTCTCTTAGAATAGTTTATTCTATAATTTCCATCTACTATAAAATTTTTATAAAACAGTGATTGATATGAATTTTAAATTTTATTCGATTTCTTGCTCGCTGCGAAAAATAGCGCATTAACATTTGCTGATCTGCTACTAAAACATTCTTACACGCGGAATATTTTATTAACCCAAAGTTACAACTCGAAAACAACTTCAAGTTTTTTTTAATCCAGCCAGTAAAACAATAATTTATCTTGTCGTTTTTAATAAATATGCCTTACTACCCAAAATTAGATATGGACATAGCCCTGCTGAAAAACGGAACCGCCCATAGATTTTATAGTTCAGAACTGTGCTATGCGCCGTCAACTGCCACAGATGGCCTGCTAGATATGGACCACAGGCAATGCCAGTGTTACATGGGGATGGGGTCCGATGCTAACGCTTGGCTGATGATTGATTTGGAAGCTCCTTATTTCATTGATAGGATCACTCTCCTGACCAACACATATCAAGGTGAGCAGCGAAGCATTAGATAACCGTAGAAATACCAGTATTTTTATAGCACTAATTACCATAATACAATATTTTATTGGGCCTCATTCATTTTTGCATTTAAAAACTCATTCAAAAACCTTTGTATTTGTCTATTTTTAAAAATGCAAATACACAGATGTACTGTTATTTTTTAGTAGTTCATTCGATCATTGAAATGTTTTTAATAATAATTTTTTCAAGTTGATTTTATAAGTTTACGTTCGGTTACCACACACAATGCAAAGTTTTATGACAATCTGTTATTTATTAGTTCCAGCTTTGGGCGTTTATAACAGCAGGAAGTTTGAGGTAATTAAAATAGTTGCATCGCTTGAATGGGTTTAGCAGAACAAACAAAATTGTTTTCGTTTGAAATCCTTATGTTGTTATTTATTTAGAATGTATAAATGGAATATATTAAATAAATAAATAAATATATATATATATATATATATATATATATATATATATATATAAAATATATAA